AATCTCTCTAATTATTATACGATTTTATTCCAAATAAATCCAACTTCATTTATAAGGTTTTTCCCTTTTTTTTAAAGTAGAGAGAACTTTTCAAAATAATCAAGCAAAGTCTGTTTTGTTTAAATATAAGAAAATTATTTTAAGTAATCTTACTTCTGCTTATCATCAAAACTTAAAATTCTTAATTCTTTATATTTTGTGAAATCTAATAGTGCTTCACTGCAAAACCATTGTCTATAATTTGTGCTATTTAATTCAAACACTTCAGATCTTGTTGTAGTAATTATTTTTGGATATTTTAAATTATAGATTCTCTATTAACCCTGAGTTAATTCGCTTAAGTTTTATAATTACTGTTTCCAATTCTTTAATTTATTATTTTAGATTAAATTAATTTAATTATTACTTAATTCATCAAAGCTATCAAGAATGAAAACAACTGCTACTTTACCTTCTTCAACAAGTGTTTAGAAAGCTTGAATTTATCTCCAATCAAAATTATAATTACTTGTAGCTAAGGTTTCTTCGACAGCTCTTAAATATGGATCTTTTAAGCTAGCTAATTAAATAAAAATTGGAACAATAGGTATTTATTCTAAATCTCTCGACCATTCATCTAAATTTAATTATTAATATTAAAGCCATATATATTCTTCTATTTTTTTAGCAGCTACACTTTTGCCTGATCCTGCAGGACCATGAATCAATAAAGAATCTTTGGGTTATTATAAAAACTCGTCAATTTCACCTTTATTTTAAAATACATCATTAAAAAGAGTAGTTTCATCATCTTCATCTTTAAAATTTTCCTTCAACTCTTTTGTTCTTAAATTAACATAAACATTATTAAAATCATTCATAATCTTTTATTATAAAATAGATTACATCCTAATTTCTAATAATTGTTTTGGAGTCTTACCAGTTAATTGTTTAATATCTTAAACCATCTCATCTATTTTATTTAGCATTTAATCTAATTTATTGTGAATTTTATTTAAATCTTATCTAATTTCTCTTAAAAAATTGATTGTTATACCTAAAGCATCACCTATTTGATTTACATTCATTATTTATTATTCAACTTGTTCCTCTAATTATTTGTGTTCTTTTAATAATTATTCTCTCTTTCTGTCTGTCTCAGCATTTTAAATATTAAATTGTAGTTATTCTAATTTATTTATTTAACTAGCTAAATCTTTTTTTATCTAACTTTATATATCTGGCCAATTCTTAGAAAAACCTTAATACATTTGTTATATTATTTATTTATTTTTAAGTGTCACTAATATTTTTAAATCTGTCTCTTTTGCAGCTATTAAGATTAGCAATTTTTATATCGCTTATTTATTCTAATCTTGTAATTGATTTTCTAATTAAATGCATTAAAATAAAAATCCTTCCTTTACTCTCCAAGAGTTACCTTTTATGTAGTCAACAACTTAAGAAAAAATACTTTGCTTACATAATTTTAAAGAAGCTTAAGATTAATTTAGGGTTTGTTAAAATATAAAACTCATTTCATCTTTTATAAATTTTTCTAGTTCAATTGGATTTTGATTAATCACATATAATTAAGTGGAAAATTTTTTGCAAAAGACATCATTTTAGAGATTTTTCAATTTCTCAATAATTTCTTAAAATTTATTCTATAGATTTTAAATCTAATTTTCACATTAAGAATTTATAGTTTATTTCTACTTCATAGATTTCATTAAATCTACCAAATCTTACAAAGTATCAAGATCAGAAAAATCAATTGATTATTACACCTACACTAATAACTTTTTAAAATTATCAGCCAAATCTTATAATTCAGATGGATTTGGTTTTTTTTCATCAATACTTTCGCTCAATTCAGTCAATCCTCGCTCCAATGATTCTTTTAAATTCTTAAATAGCTATTCAATACTATCAATATAATCTAATGTAGATTTTTTTATTAGAGTTTAGATTGTTGAATCTAATTGATTTTTTTAATTATTTCGAGCACGCACTAAAAATTCATTAAAATTATTCAATTCATTAATGAATTAAGCTTTAATCTCACTATTTTTTTAGATTAGTAATTCCTATTAAATAACTGATACTTATATTTCTATTTCCTTTACTTTTTCAACATATTCAGTATTGGTTAATAATTCTATTTTATCTTTGACAATCACTAATCGATCAATTTGAGATTACAGTTTATTATAATTTGATTTAAAATTTTACTATGTTTTAGATTCTTTTTTACTTACTAATTCAATTAGTAATTCCAATTTTTTAAGGAAGTCAAAATTATAATTAAGAGTTGAGTTAATTGATAGAATTGAATAATTAAAGATAGAGCAAAAAATATTAAAAATTCTACCTATTTTTGTATCTTTTATTTAATTTAATAAGATCTAGTTTTCTGTTTCAAGCAATTTAATAAATTAATTATATTGATGAATCTAGTATTAGAAATACTCATCCAAGTCAAATTTTTAATTGAATTTAAACTCTATTTTTTATTTTTTTTCAATTTTTTCAAATTCCTCTAAAGTTAATCTATCATAGAGTAGAGTTTTTAGGTTAAAAAATTAATCACATTAAAATTTAAGAATTGAATAAATTGAATGAAGATATTCAAAATTATTGATCTAGCTCTAGTTAAACTCTTCAATTAATTTGTCAAATACTAATTTTATATCTATTTCTGTAGTTTACTTTGTGATAATAATTTGTTTATTTATAATAAAGTGTTCAGCTGTAAGCAAAGATGTGAGTAGCTCTACCTATTAATTCCAAGATTAACAAAATTGAATAGAATTGATAAAAAAATTTAGCTATTCTTAAAAGGATTGTTCTGAAATTTTTTATAAGTTGATATTATCTTATGGCATTTTTTTTTCAAACTTCTTTTGGTAATTAATTGATTATTCTTTTGCTAAGTTTCTTTATTAAAGCCAATTCATGAGGTTATCAAAAATATTTATTTTTTTATCAAATAGCTTTTTGGATTATATTTATGAATAATTGTATAAAAATGCTTGAAAACAATTATCATATATTGATACTTATTATTTATTGAATTCATCAGATTTTAACAAAAGGGGAGCTATTGTTTCAATAATATTATTAATATAATCAAGTGAAATTTAAAATTTGTTAATATCATTAAGTAAGGATTAATATTATTCTTAAGTTAATATTAAGTGATATTAGAAGTCTTCAAAGCTCATAGTATTAGGATCTATTTGATAATAAGCAACTAGGAATGTTTAAAATTTATTTATGAATTCATAAAAATTAAAGACAATTTTTTCAAAAGGAATTTATCTTAAAGTTTAAATCATCCTAAAATAATCTTGATTTGCTTCATTATCTAGGTTTATTATATCTTTTGTTGAATCTAATGAATAGTAGCCAATGAATTTAGGAATTACTTAGTTTCCATTCATAAAAAAGTTTTGAAGATTTTGATATTGTCTTAAAATGTTTTATAATTTAATCCCAAAATTGGATGAAGATTCTTTGGCAATAATTTCAGCAATTTCAAAATCTTTATGAACAACATTTATCAAATTTTCAGATTAAGCTTGTTCCCATGTTATTACTTAACTTGATTCTGATTATAAACTCATAAATTTGATTTTAGTTATTAATGGTTTAGATGACATAAGTTCACTTGCCATCTTTATCCAAGAATATTAAACTGCCCAATCACTTCCTTTTTTAATAATATTTTAAAAATTAATATTAATTCTTTCTTCTATATCATGAAAAATAACCCCTGCTTTAATACTCATCAAGATATTCCATTTTAATTGTTCTAAATATAGGCAATTTTAAAATTGCTCCATTGACTATTTCTTTTAGAATTATTGATATAAAAAAAGAGCTCCTTTAGAAATTGAACTCAATAAATCAGGTGAAGGTTTTAAACTAACAGCCGAATTGAAAATTTCCTTTAGAATACCAAAGGCACAATCATCACGTTTTTAAATCTCCTCTTAAGTTGGAATATATTCTATACAAGCTTTAATTAGACTTAGCTCATAATTCAATGCATTATAAAATAATTATGTTTCTCCATTTTCAGTTAATTAATTATTTATAACATTCGATAATTATATCCATTTATCTATTTATTTTTAATAGCTTCTTTCATTTGAATTAGTATAATATATGAATATCAACCTGACAAAGGAGTTACAAATTTTTAATATTGATAGAGTAATCAATCTATCCCATTAGATTGTCATTGACGCTAATTCTAAAAAATACTAAAGTGCTCTTTCTATAATTTATTTGTGTTTTTTCAATAACTCTATTTGAAATTAGAAATAACAAAATAAGGATTCTAGCTCCTAAAGCCAAGTTATGTTTCTACAAAGAACACCTTTTCCTTCTTCAGTGCTCATTATCTCTTTTATGTGTTCTATCTACTCTAACTTTTTATTTAAGTGAATGAGAAATCCATTTAGAAGTGTTGAGTGTAATTATGCTTCCATCTAAATATTTTGAGGTATTCCTTAAGAATTTTTCGATGAAGAAAAGGCAGATCCACCTCCTCTTAAACATTAAACTTATTAAAGATGCAATTTTAAAAAATTTTGTTTCATATTTTTATTAAAAAGAAATATATTTATTTGTTGAGATTTATCACGATTTTTTGTAAATTGAATTTTAATTTATTAATGTTTATGAATGAATATGATTAATTCCCTCAAATAAAAAATTAGTTATATATAAATTAAACAATAAAACCAAGAAATGTAATATCGTACTCTTACTGATAAAAATGAAGTTTTTGGTCATTTAGATTTATTTCTTTTGTAATTATCTTATAGATTATATTTAGATATTAATGTCATAAATATTTTAAAATTATATAATGATAATTAAAAGAAATTAATAATATTCATAAAAATTCTAAAATTATAATCATTAATATACAATCATACTATTTTTGGGTTTTTAATGATATTCAGATGGATTCTATATAATAATTTTTTATTAGAAATGAATTAAAATTAAGTTCTAAGTCGGCTTTCTTGCAAGGATATTAATGATTATAGTTTTATTAAGATGCTAGGAACAGGATCTTATAGTGAAGTGTTTTAGGGAAAGAACAAAAGAAATGGAGAAGAAACTGCAATCAAAGTAATTGATAAGGTTTTTTTAGCAAAAGTAATAATAAATGTAAATCTATAGTAAAATAAAAGTCACTTGATCTATTTAGAATCTAATGCTTTAATGTCTATAAATCACCCTGGGGTTATAAAATGTTATGCTACATATGAGTCTAATACAAAGTTATATCTCTCTTTAGAATTGATGAATTGTGGCACATTCAGAGATTACATCAAAGGTAGTAAATAAGTTATTCATTTTAGGGAAGTAACTAACAATGAAAGAGATTTAATTTTATGCTGCTTAAATGGTTGTCATTTTAGAACAAGTTCACAAAAAGGGAATAGTTCATAGAGATGTTAAAGTATCATTAACTAATATACCTTAGCCAGAGAACTTGATGATGACAAAAGATAAATTCTTGAAATTGATTGATTTTGGAGCTATTTTATTATTTAAAGGAAAGGATGTTACTAAAGAAGAATCTGATATAAAGTTTTGTAGAAAATCTAGTTTTTGTGGAACAGGAGAATACTTGTCTCCAGAGTTACTTGATAAAAATTGTTGTGGTCCTTAATCTGATTTATGGGCTCTTGGAGTGATGATATATGAATTATTTACTGGAAACACTCCTTTTTAAAGTGACATTGAATATATTATGTTTTAAAACATTTCTGATAAAGAACCAAATTATGATTTAATTAAAGATCAAAATGCCCTTGATTTTATATAAATGCTATTAACCAAAGATGCAGGTAGAAGATTAATCGAAGCTATTGAGAATGATTGTAATTATTCAATATTAAAACAACATCCTTTCTTATCTAATGTTAATTTTGATAACTTATGGTAAAAATAAACAGAAATCAATGAATAGCCTAAATTTGAAAGAAAAAATGTATTATTCTTTATTTATTATCTAAGCATATAAGAGCAAAAACTACCTTAGTTAATGATGGTATATCTTTGATTTTAAGTGGTATTGTAGACAAACATTCAGGAGTGTTTATGTTTGGACAATACACTCCGAGAACTATGTAACTTATTTAAAAACATTTCTCATAAGAACTCTTTTATTATAATCCATATAAAAAGAAAAATGTAAATTATTTTTTAATATCATAGCATCAAATCTAATTGATTGGTGCTAAATGCAAACTTGCAAATGATGGTGAATTTGTCATCATTAGCGATAATAAAAAATTGTTCTTTAGATAAAGAGAGCATCCAGCTACATAGTGGGTAGCCTTAATTAATAATGCTATCTCTTATAACAAATAATTTTAATAATGAGCAAAATGATAAAATGATGCTTATATTTAACAAAATAAAATAATTAATATTTATTTATTCATTCATATAAAAAATATAAGATAGTTTATAAATATGTATAAAAATAAATTTTATTTTATTAAATAAAATCAACCTAATAAAATAATTTGAAAAGAATCACATTACTATAAGGAATTTTTATATTCCGAAAATAACTTTAATATAATTTAGATTTTATTAGTATCATGTATGTCTTATTTTAATGTAATCTCATCTAAGATTAAGATATATTAAATTAATTATATTTTTTAATATATATATATATGAGAAAGTAAAACACCTTAAATAGAGATATAGGTATAAAAAATATTATAGATATATCTGTGGTTTTCTTTTATATTTTTTTTTATATGTAATTTTTCGCATATTCATTTAAATTATGAAAAATGAGTAAGTAATAGGGAAATAAAGTTATTTCATAACTATAAAACCTTATAAATTTAATAAAGATATAAGTTCTTTGTTGTTCTTAAAATAAGAAATAAAATAATGTGTTATTTAGGTGGTTATTAGATTCTTTAATGAATTTTTTAGATGGAGAATAAATTAAATAAATAAAATAGCCTATAATATAGCTCTTTTTTGATTATATATAAGGAAGATTAATATCTTTTTTTTATTAATTATTTTTTATTTTAATAATGGCAAGAAGAGGTCAATAACCACCACCTTAACAATAATAAGCTCCACCAGCTCAAAAAAATTAAGCAGGAAAATTCAACCCTGCTGAATTTGTGAAACCAGGATTGACTGAAGAAGAAGTTTTGGAAATAAAAGAAGCTTTTGACTTATTTGATACAGATGGGTATGTATTATTTAGATAATATTAGTACATAAACAATTGATCCAAAGGAATTAAAGGCTGCAATGACATCATTAGGATTTGAAGCCAAAAACCAAACAATTTATTAAATGATTAGCGATTTGGATACAGATGGAAGTGGACAAATAGATTTTGCTGAATTTTTGAAATTAATGACAGCAAGAATTAGTGAAAGAGATTCTAGAGCTGACATTCAAGTATCTAAAATAATAATACTTTTCATTAGAAAGTCTTCAATCTTTTTGATTCAGAAAGATCTGGTGTTATCACTTTGAAGGATCTCAGAAAAGTAGCAAAAGAATTAGGAGAAACAATGGATGACTCCGAATTATAAGAAATGATTGATAGAGCTGATTCTGATGCTGATGCTTAAGTGACATTTGAAGATTTCTATAATATTATGACCAAAAAGACATTTGCATGATTCAAATCAATAATACATAATAATATAAAAATACATAAATTGATAACTTCATTATAAATATTAAAAGTTAATAAAAAATATTTGAACACTTTTATGTTCAATTATTATTTTCTTGTCCAAGATCAATATAAAAAGCATGAATAAAACTAATCATTTTAATCCTTTTTACTAAAATTTGTTCAAATCAATCAAACTGTAATTAATGATTATAAATTTTGTGTTACTTCATATAATCATTAATTACTCTTTCCCATCTATATCTTTTGAGGGGTTTTTAATAATGATATGTCATAAAAATTATCTAAAACTGTTGTATAGTCTTAATTTTTAAATTTACCTTTTTTTTATGTGAAGTTCAAATTTAAAAATACACAAGTTGATCAATTAGAAATTGAAGAACAAAGTATTTATTACAGTAAATAAATCATATGTTAATTTTTTTACTTCTTTTCTCTTACAATTAATTTGATAAAAAGGTCTTAGACAAATTAAATAGAAGTATTTAAGTCTTTTGTTTATTTTAATTTGATAATAAGATTAAAGATAGAAAAATAATAAAAAAGTTATTCCATTAACCTCACCAACCCTTGGCAATCATATTCAATTAATAACAAGATAATCTACAAAATTTAATATTTTTATTGATTTACTTCTTATAATTAAATTATTGCATCATTTTCAATAGAATGAAGAAAGTTTTGCATTACTACCTTAAACAAAGAAATAATATATATAGTCTTTTTTTGACAAAAATATTACATAATCATATAATTACATAGTTCGTATTAGTATCTTTAATAAAATTTTAAATTAATGCAAAAGTAAATTATATAGTATTTATGGATTGTGTAATAATGATTCATTAAAAAATGAACTAATTTATAAAATTAAAATAATATATACAAAAAATTTCAATTCCAAACTAACACAAAAAATACATATATTTATAGAAGGAATAAGGATAAAAATATTATTAATAATAGTAATCATAAATTGATGAATTCTTTTTTCATCATGTAATTTCCTTTCATTTTTTATGGTTCTTCAGCAGCAGAGTAATAATTACTAATTCCAGGGATATAAGAAAAAGGATCAGCAACTTTATTACTAAATATTAAATCTAGATATAGCTGGTCAGCTATATATTCTTTAAATATAATTTAAGATTCTTCCTCAGCTATTATTGAATCTCTTAAATCTTTTATTTTTATTTTGGATTATTTTTCCCTATCTCTTAATTCTATCAATTTTTTTAGTCCCTTAGGAATGATCTAATTTTTGGAACTATATTTTTATTTTTTAATCCATTTAACTATATTGTTTCCAATCATTTTAGGGAAGTTCTTATAATTGATGTCTTCTTCTTTTATTTTGATCGTCTCAAACTTTGTCATTGAGGTTGGTTATATTTGAAATGAATTACTAGGCAATAATTGCTCAACATCATCAAAATTATCTTATTCTTATTAATATTCATTAATGCAAGAATCCTGGTTGAACAGTTCAAAATTATGGGGGATCATTTACAATACAAATTGATAATAACCTTTAATTAAATTGATCATGAATTTAAACATCTCTAATTCTATTATTTTTAAAAAGTTTGAGATTATTTTATAAAAAAAAAAATAATAATTTTCATTAGGTAATATAGCTACTAACCATTTTATCAGGTACAAAACTAGCAGCATAATAATTACATATTCCGGGAATATAGGGGAAAGGATCATTAATTTTAGAACTAAAGATTAGATCTAATAACAATTAATTTTTGAAATAAATTTGAAACAATCTCCTAGATTCCTCATCATATTGACATGCATTTCTTAAATCTGAAATTTTGAATCCTACTTGTTAAGGTTAATTCTTTTTTTTTATTAATTATTGTATTCCTTTAGGAAATCTTTTTAGATTTTGAGTAGCAAATTTACAAAAATTATTTCCTATTAATTTAGGAAAATTCTTTAATTTCTTCTCTTTCATCGTTTATTTTGCTATTGGCAATTGCATTTCAATTGATGATTTACAAAATTTCTTATTTTTAGATTAGATCTTTTATAAACTTGGGTTTTCTTTTTGTAACTCACCTAAAGAGTTGGTTTAAGGTACATCTTCAAAAGAAATCATTTTTTTAAATTAAAATTATGGTTATTAGAATTTATACAACAAATGTTTTTCTATTAGGAAAATTAAAATATATGATTAATAATTTTTGTATTAAATTTTTATACATTTTATTGTTAAAGTTCTAACATTAAATATGATAGTTACAACTGTGTAATAATACTTTTATTACTTAAATACTTACCATTTTAGAGGGTTTGTCTATTTAATTTCCATTCATTTAATCATTTTGTAAAAATTATCTTTTACTCATACAAACATTGAATGAAAATCAACTTCCAAATATTTTTAGTTTTTAATTTTATTTTAAATTGAAATCTCTCTTTCATTATGGTATACATGGATTTGTATAAGATTGTGATAAAAAAATTAATATAAAAATGTTTTAAGTAAAAAAGTTGAGTAGGGAAAAGGTATTCATATAGAAAATAAAATGGAAAATTTTCATCCATATTGTATAAATAATTTTTGATTTTAAATACTTATAGTTGAAAAAATATTAATAATAAAGCATAATGAAATTTATATATTTAGTCATTTTGGGAATAGCGATAGTTGAGAGTCGTAATTCTTTTTCTTTTTTATTGAATTCAGGAGAAATTTATAATACAACTCTGAAATTCAAAACAAATTACGCTATAAGTTAACTAAGTTTGAGATGTGATGTAAAGATTAGATTTATTTTAGAATCTTACTTATGATGCTTGGAGGTCTTATGGTTATTAGGATCTTGAAGTATCTCCAGAGTAACGAAGAGCTTTTTAGTGTTCAGACACAAATTTTACACTTTCAGTCTCTAATGATTTTAATCAAAATGAAATTGTTATCTCAGTATATGATGCTTACTACTACAAAGAGATTGCAAAATTCAATTTTCTATCAGATAATATTTATGTTCCATAAATTACTTTATAATAAAACTAAGCTGATTTAAAGTCTCTTTTTTATGTTGATAATGAATTTAAAATTACAATTTATAGTCCTTAATAAATCTATATGGAGATAATAAAGTGTTCAAATTCAAACAGTCATCTTACAGTAAAAGGATATGATTCAAATTATCTTTATCATAATTTATCTGAAATGTCATACAAAAATGCATTTTATGATGTAGTATAAACTTAGCAAGGAGATTATTATTATTATTACAGATTATCTTAAAGTTCCTATTCTACACCTGATGTTTTTATCAAAGTAAATTATTGTTTTATTTTATTAGTATTAAATTGCTTCATACGTTGATTTCAATAATATCAAGGAATATGCTAATAAATATTACTATGTGATGGGATCTGTATCTTCATAGAAAATACGTCTTTAAGTACCAACTATTTAAGTATTGAAAAGTGAAAATGTGGAATTCCACATTGTTGTGAGTAATGATAATTATGAGGGAAACTATTTACCTTGTATTTAAGGTGATTAATCTCTCTATACTTAATATGGATCAATTTATCATTCTGACTTTAGTATATTTACTTAAAATCAAAATTATGGAAAATAAGAAATAGAGATAAATTTTCCTAATTAAGAATCTGGATGGTATAATGTAAGAGTTACTGCAATAGTTGATCATGGCTATATTAAATAGTCTATTCCTTTTGAAAAATTCTAAGTCTATTAAAGTTATATAATATTTCCAGATACATTATTGGTTCATATCTTAGCACCAATAATCATTGCTTGTATATCTTTAATAGGTTTGATTGTAGGAGCATGTAAATTTTCATCTAAAAAGAAAAAGTTATAATAATAGGAGTTATTATAATAATATTAAAATAACCTATAAATCCAAAGTCATCCTTAATATTGATTAAGATATAAATACAATATTTATTTATAATAAATTTACTCAAATTATACTTTTATTATGGAGAAATATATAAATAGAATTTCATTTTTTCTCAACATTAATTATTAGATTCTTACACCCTTTTGAAAAAATAAGGGTTTCATCTATATAAGTAACTATTTAAATCTTCTAAAAAACCTTCAATAAAAAGTAATAAATAATCTGGTAATCTCCCTGCTTTCCAACAGGGAAGTTATTAAAGAGTATATTCATATTAATTAAATTAACAATATATTTTTATATAAATACTTTTTGTAACATTATTTGTTGATTCACAATAGGTTTGAATATACTTAACTTAAAATATATTGGAATAAGCAAAAAGTGATATTTAATCTTCAATATTATATTTTTTATTCTCTAACAATTTCTCTACTTATTCAAAATTTAACTTCAATAACTCCTCCTATTTAAAATATTTCTTTTAAAGGATTACATTTCTATGAATTTTATTTCAAATTAATGCTTTTATTATCCATTAAAGAAATTTAATGCTTACCAAATGGACAAATTTTATTGGTAACTAATTTTTGTTTAAATCAATTCTTAACTTTATTTCAGAAAAAAATAATTATTTACAAAAAAAAAAGAAAATTCTGAATTCTTTATTTTTATTTATAATATCTTAAATTTCATATAAATTTCATATAATATATATGTTATAATAAATTAACAAATTCAACTAATGATTTATATTATATTCCATTTTATAATTATTAAAATGATTAGTTAGATATATTTTCTAAGATTCTTAACTAAAATCAAGTAATTTGATTTATATGTTTTTAATTTTAATAATAATCAACGAAATTTGATTAACAGTAAATCCTTTTTTATAAAAAAATATTTGCCTGATATTATATTATGAATTGTATAAAACTTATAAAAAATAAAATCATCAAAATATGAAACGTCGTCCATAAAGTGCTATTATATCAAAAATTGTAAAAGAGAGATAAGAATCAGGAATAAATACGTAAGAATATTGTTCTAGCAGAGTTCATAATTAATATATTCCTAAAAACCAACACCATAATAGATTGCACCTAAAGAATATTTTGAAGATCAAGAGCAATTGTATTTCGCAAACTTATAATTGAAATAATAGTACAATGAGTTAAAGTTTGAAAATTCGAGACTAAAAGCCTTTGTAGCCTAATTAAAAGTACTGATGAAATTTACATAATTAGAAATAAATTGTAAAAATAGAGAAAGTAGATAAATTTTAAGTAAGTTGTGATCCACTTGGAGTTGTTTAAAATGGAGAAGGAAGCATTGTACCTATTTTAAAAGCTAAAGTAAAGGAATAGCGTAATTAAATTGAAGAATTATAAACTGATTTACATTAACAATATAAGTCTGTTAAATTGACTAAATTATCAGAATTATAAAGAGAGATTCATAATTAATAAAATGAAATTATCAAATTAAAATAAGTGATTTCATCTGCTCTCAATATTACTGATTAAGAGTAATATTATATATAATTTATTATAGTTTAGTCAATGATCCAAATGTTATTGAAAAACTATCTAAATTTACAATTACAGTACATCAACAAGAGAATTCAATTCAACAGTTAACAAAATAAAATGATTAATTAAAATTAGAATATCAGAAAATGTCTAATGATAATGCAAAATTGTTGGAAGAAATGAAATAATTGAATTTTGAGAAAATTAATTACAAAAAATAATTGGAAGAATAAACAATTACTGAAAATGAAATCTATTAATAAAAGAAAAGAGAATTTCTAGAAATGAAATTGTCGTAAATATATTAGTATATCATTAAGTGCTACTTTAAAATAGTTGGATACATTAAAAGGGGAATTATCTTTATATGAAAATAAATCAAAATTGTTATAGAAATAAATCAAAGATTAAGAAAAGGAATTTAAGTAGACAATAATGGAATTATAAAAATCAAAATAAAATTTAGAAGATTAATGTTACAAAAAAGATGTCATTATGTAATTTAGATGATAATACTTTAGATAAGATTTAAATGATCGCATCAATATTATGGATTTACTAAAATAAAAAAACTCTCCAAAACCTTCTGATTCTCCACTTACTTAATAACAAAATAAAACATTCTTTCCTCCTACAACTTATAGGGATTAAATGACTTAATTTCCTGAAAATCAAATATCTGATATCAATAGGGATCTTAATTCTAGGCCTATAAGTAAAAATAAATTGGAACAGTTATTTTAATAATTAAAATTTAAAATAATTTCTTAAAAATTAACTAAAGATAGAATTCATTTTACATTTCATAATAAAGAATTCATATAATTAGGGGAAGCTATTTAAATTTTTATGAATGCTCCATATAACTTTTAGAAATCTGATTCAATAATACTTTGTAGATACTTTATTGGAGAGGATTAAGGATTTTCTAATTAAATCTAATGGTAAGACACATAAGAAGTTAGAGAGATTATTGATTAATTTTATAATCATCCAAAAATAAAATCTGAATATGTATTAGATAATTTTATTAATTTAGTTGACATTTTAGACTATTTTGAAATAGAATTATTTTTGTAAAGCACTAAATTAGAAATTGATTTAAAGTAATATAACAAATTAAATATACAACAAAGATGATCTGATTTTACTATTAAAAAATAAATTTAGTTTTACTTATGAACAAATAGATTATATGTTGATGATGAATTATTTATATTCAAATGAAGTAGAATATATCAATTTTAACTATTTAAGAAAATTAATATAATAAGAATGTGATCTATAAGCTACTCTTCACAATTTAACATATTTTAGTCATGATACCATTAGATTTATTCCAAAAAAAGCAATTAAATTTTCATATTCAGATGATGAAGAATTTAATAATCCTGTACTTGAGAACAATAATTTAAACTCTATAGAAAAATAAAAAGATGATTCAAAAAATTTAATAAAACCACCTGAAATATCAAATTAAATTTAAAACATTATTACAAGTGAACAATATTTAACTTTCTCATGTATTTATATATTTTGATAAAATAGAATTTAAAAATAATGATTAATAACTAAAAAGTTCTGAATCTAGAAAACCTAACAATCATAATTATAACAATAGTGATATTTTCTAATATAGCTAATCAATACTACCATAAGCTACTTTAAAAAAACCATCTGATATGATGTAATAAATCACATAGGATAATTCGATTTAATTTAATATTACAAATTAATTTTAATCTCCTTAACAAAATAAAAAAAAAATCAATCAAATAACTGAATTCTATCCAGGAAAAGAAATTTTAGATTAAAGAAACATCCAATATAATATAGATAATGATACATAAATTACTGATGTTAATAAAAAAGAAGATGATTATTATGAAGAAATTTTAGAGGAATACATCGAAGAATTGTGATTAATATATAAAAATAAAATTTTATTATTATTATTTAATAAAAAATGAATTTTTATAATTAATTGACCGGTATTATTAATGTATACTTATGATATTAATGAAATAACAAACTCTTAAAATTATATTATATCTATTTCCAGAATGTATTTCTATTATTTATGTATTAATTGATTGCTTAATGGAAATCATGATAAGTCATTGAGTGGTTTACTATAAAAAATTATAAATTTATTACAAAGATAAGGAGCTAAAATTATTTAATAATTAAAATAGCATTAATTAAATAATTGAAGTAGAGTTTTTTATGATACTTTCTATGTCAATAATATTTTTGATATATTTTATAAATAAGTAGCCTTATAATTATTAAATTTTGAAACATTATTAATCATAATAAGATTTGTGACACTTATCTTGATCATCAACCAGAAATTTAAGTAAATTAGATTTTTTATTTAAAATAAATGTTTAAAATTTTTGGTAGGATTGAAATTTAACAAATTTAGACTGAAGCATATTATGTTACTGGTAGATCAAAAAAGTAAGCATAAATAAAAAGTTTGAATAATACATTTTCAAATGAAGTTATAATTGAATTACTTTCTGAAAAATTAGAATCTTATAATTTAACTATCTATGTTAATTCTTTTGTCTAATATTAAAATTTGACTTAAATTCCGGTAACAAATTCCATAAATGCTTAATTCTATCCAAACCCAATTGTTTGTGAACTTAAATTGTACGATAATAGTGTAATAAAATGGTGCTCAGATATAACCTGTCAATAATATTTGAGTGAAATTCCTGATCTCCATATAAATGACATATTTGTAATAGAATAAATTGTGACTTTTTATAAAAGAGCTGTTAATTTTTATTTGACCAAACCAACAGTCTGGTATCATGGTGATGGTTTAAATATGAAAGCAAAAATTATGAGTGTGAATAATGAAAACAAAGGAAAAGTTATTATCTAAATAATAGCTCAAATTGCATGGAGAAAAGTAATGATAAATGTTACTTCTTTTTTATCTTCAAAATAATAAGACGAAGAATCAACTCTAGATATCTCTACTAGTAGCGATTTGATTGAATGTATCAAATATGAAGGATAAGAATCATGTGCCATATGCACTTAAGAATGTTAAGTTAATGGATTTGCTAAAGATGGTTGCAATTATTGTTCATTTTCTATTTTAAAAGAATTTGTTTTCTTGGTCATTATGTTATTCTTTATCATTTGACTTTTTAAAATAATTTGATTTAATAATTTATAATATCTATTGCAACAAACAAATAATTATGTTACTTAATTCTATAAAATTGATTAATTTCAAATTGGATCAGCTAAAGTAAATCGCCACTTGAGATATACAGATGTAGTTCTATTAATGATGTAATATAAGTATCGGAAAGAATCAACAATACAGTATATGAGATAAGTTTTCATATAAAGTAACTCACATTCACTATTGATTTACCAGTAAGACCATCAAGCAACTTAAAAAAATTAATCGAGACTAATTAATTTAAATTTATGTATTAAATGTTAATTAATCATATTTAAAAATATGTATTTCATTAACTTTATTTATAAAACAAAAATTATTATATATAAATCAGTTGTAAAAAATTAGTATATCTATTTTATTTATTAAAACAAAAATTATTTATTAATCTTTCTGAAATGAGTATTGAATTTAACAATAAAAGCTAAATTATCATCTTTTACAAAATTTTATTTTATAAGCTTATTTAATAAATATTA